ATGTCAATCATTACCTAAACAAGTTTTCAGTCTTTGTACTGACCGTGTAAGTTTACGGTTGGTTATTATATATTTCACATACTGCAGCAGCCATAATCTTGTCTTCTGTGTCTGTTCTGGAAATGTACTTTGATGCAACTCATAGTAGAAAATAGAAAACTGAGTTTAGTCATCTGTGTAAGACAAATACACATGCAGTTAGACCAGATTCAGTTCTGACCTCTTTGTTATTGATTTGGCAGGAAGTAGTTGAGACAGCCAGGCTGCATGGAAGGCCCTCTTTATTGTTTGAGAACTCGGAAAAAAAAGAGACTAAAACAATAACAAACAGCCAAAGTAAGACACCAAAAGTCTATATGCACTCTGTCGTATTATGGTCAGGAAGAGGGTCATGAGATAACAGGATAGGCCCTGGAGGCTTGCCATAGTCACACTGGAAATCACTCTTTGAAAAAGGAATTCAACTTTTGCAAGACAGTCAGACAACTCAAGTAAATACGCGAATGTACAGGGTGAATGTGCAAAGGTGATACTTTATACACATATACGTATGTCTTAGTATATATCTTAGAGCCTTATTTGCTGTTTCTTTTTACACTTTAAATTTTTGCTATTGTTGGATGTAACTGGGACCCTGTGTGCACAATTTTGTTCCACCTCATGTACCACATGTGATGTGAATGACAATAAAGAATCTTGAACCTTGAACCTTTAGTTCTGACTCATCACATTTTAAAAAGTCTGATCATTCTCCATCTGAGTCATCATTACCCGCAAAGCCTCACTTTATATGTAAACTACATAATTGCTACTTTAAACTAAGACACACAATGCTGCAGCGTTGATGGGTTAGTGCACAGGAGTGTATGAGCAGACGAGATTAGTAGATATACAAATGATGTATTGAATTTTTAGGATAATTTTGAAAATTATGGGTGGAAAGAACCAGAAAAACGTTCTAGAGGAAGGTGGTGATAACCATTATCAGTTGCTACAAATTGTTTTTAGCTCAGCCAAAGCAGTCACTGGGCGATGGTTTCAAGCTTTATAACAAATCAGTGCTATTTTGGTGTATTTTTAGCTGCTTTAAAAAGAAGAAGTGTCACATTCCAGTATATTTATTTTCTCTCTTCGTTTAATGTAACGAGTCGTGTTTGATTGCAACAGTTAGAATCTAAAACTGGTCATTTGGGCTCATGCTGCAGAATGAATGTAGTGCTCAGTTGTGAAAGGTTGAAGAGGACATGGTTATAAAAGGAAAGACACAGAAAGACATGATGCAGACTTTAAGACTTCTTCTTTGGACTGAGTGGACCGTACCGTAGAATTTTGATGCATCTTTCTTTCCTGTTTTTTTGTTTGTTTGTTTTTTAAAGAAAAAGTAGTTTGAAACAGTTCTGGCAGAAAAAAGTGAGGCAACAGATATTTGTTAAAATCTTTTTTGTCCTTTGCTTCTTATTTCTGCATTTCTGTTTGTTCATTGTTCATAGGAAAGACTCATCTTTAAATATTTCCGGAGTCTGACACCAACAGTGTAATATGCAGCACATCCATCACTTCATCCGTCCATCCATTTATCTATTTATCCATCCATCCATCCAGTTATTCAGTCTCTACTCACTTTTTTGCGAAAGTGTTTTATTTGCATGTTGACAGAATGCAGTGTGTTTTATTTTATTGTATTATTTATTTATTTGCTGTTTCCTGTGATATCTTAGGTGCGACTTCATTAGTTCAAGACGGTTGAATGTATATTGCTTTAAAATTTTTGCTTTAAGACAAATTAAGTGGTGATTAAGTGATGAAATTAGTTGTTCGCACTGTTGCCTCACAGCAAGAAGGTCCTGAGTCTAAGTCCTCAAGTCTTTCTATGTGCGACATCATTCTGTTGTTAAATCGTCAAACCTACATGCAGGTAGGCAACAGGGAGACTCCTCTTGCAAAATAAAGAATGAATTTATTAACAAAAATGAAACAAAGCTGTCGGAGCAGCAAGACTCACAAGCAGGAGTGAGATGCTGGGAGGAACAGATTAAAGTGTATTGCCTGGACACAGGAGGAATGACAAGACACAGACTATATACTGAAGAGAGGCTCAGAAACACCTGGGGTGACTGGGAGTGAAGACAGATGTGAGAAAACACAGGGGAGTGCAGACAAACACAGGAGACAGAAAACCCTACAATGTGGAGTTTGCATGTTCTCATTATTTGTATTTGTATAAATGTGTGTTTATCTTTGGGTACTCCAATTATCTCCCATAATCCAGAAAACATGCATGTTAGGCTGCCTTCAGGCCCAAACCCCCCTTGAAAAGAGATCTGTGATCTCGATGGGCCAGGTTGAATAAAGTCAGTCAGAGAGTCAGAGAGTCAGAGTTTCTTTATTGTCATTCGCACCTCATGTGGTACATGTGGTGGAGCAAAATTATGTACACGGGGTCCCAGTTACATCAAACAATAAAATGTCTAAGAAAAACAGTAATAACATCTAAGATATGAACTAAGAAAAACATCAACTAAATATACACTAAGCACTCATAACATAAAACATTGAACATCAGCACAAACATGAACATGAGTCTGTGAGCAGATGTGCACGCATGAACACATCAACATTGAAACAGATCAGCAGCAACATGAAACAGATCAGCAGCAACATGATATGGTTTTTCACAGTGATTATTCTAGTTAGATATTCATGAGTCTAACAGCCTCAGGGTAGAAGCTGTTCCTCAGTCTAGTGGTTCTACACTTAATGCTCCTTAACCTCCTTCCTGAGGGGAGTGGGGCAAAAAGTGTGTGTGCTGGGTGGGTGGGGTCCTTCATGATGCAGGTGGCCCTCTTCCTGCATCTGGAGGTGTAGATGTCTGTGATGGTGGGGAGACTGATTCCAACAGATTTCTGTGCAGCCTTCACCACTCTCTGCAAAGCTTTTCTTTCTGCAGCTGTGCAGCCTCCATGCCACACATTGATGCTCGAGCACAGGATGCTCTCCACTGCACACCTGTAGAAGGAGGTGAGGACTGAGCTTCCCAGACCAGCTCGCCTCAGCCGTCTGAGGAAGTAGAGTCTCTGATGAGCTTTCTTGATCAGGCTGGTGGTGTTGTTGCTCCAGCTGAGGTTGTCATTCATGTGTACACCCAAGTACTTGTAGCTGGAGACCACTTCCACCGCAGATCCTCTTATGTTCAGGGGGGTGTAG